TTATGGAAAAAAAAAAGTTTTAAATGATAAATTTGAAAGAAAAAAATGTGTCTTGAACGATTAAAAAATAAAATGGTTGATGAAGCCGCCCATGTTTTGATTTGCGATCTAATGCTATAAACAGGTTAATTTTTGCCCCGTATTAGTTTCACCCTTTGGCAATTGCTAATTATAGTTTTCCCTGTTTTAGATATACACCCAGTCCAATCATCTAATTACCGCTACATTTTCAAAATTTTCATTACCACTACATAGTCATTACTGCTACAAAAATCCCTACATTACCGCTACATAAAAAAGTAAACGTTACCGCTACATTGCCTCTTTCGTTAGCCAGCCACTTATTCGTGTACAGTAAAGCCGATACATGCATTAGACCCGTTTCCACTGCCCACGACGGGTGAAAGTAGGACATTGAACAGGATATTGTTTTTTTTTTTATTAAAATCAATTTTATTTCATAAAACAAAGAAAGTAAAAATCAAGCACTGTTCATACATAAAATTTTAATTTTTGTCGAATTTTTTTTTTACACTATCGGTAAATCCTTGAAAGCCATTTGCTTTGCATATTGTTGCCTTGTCATTTCCCTACTGCCATATTTAGCATTTATTCCCTAATTTTTGTGCTGTATTGTTCTCCTTTCGTCCTGTGAGAATCCTGTTTCTTGCAGCACGCATCTTCAGGTAACTTTATGTCTGGACAGATTGAATCTTTGCCAAATGAAATAAAAAAAATCCTCGGGTGTGAAATATAAAACATTGTGCCGAATTTTTTTTTAGAAAACTTTCACACTCAACATCCGCACTTGCCCAAATTGTAGGTGGAAATGACGATGATCGTTTAATGTGCTTCGGAAAACACATCAAACACAAAGCACTCTTCAATTTCTCAAAGATCTACAAAAACCAAACCCCAAGAAAACTTTCAACCGCTGTCCAAATTCTGTTGATTAGAATTCATATGCCGAACCCATACATGTACCTGGCTAAATTGATATGCAGCGGTAATGAGTTGTTTTTGCCGGAAAAATGTAGCGGTAATGATCGGTCGAAAATCTGGAAAAATGTAGCGGCAATGAGTTGAAATTGTTGGCAATGTAATGGTAATGATGACCTCCCTTTTTTTCACTCAACCAGTTTTAAATTCGACCGGTACCTTTAAATGATTTTAATGCTTTTTAAATTTTTAACGCAAAAGATAATTTTTTGAGTGCAAAAAGGTCAAATAATTGACCATGCGCAGTAATTTGAAACTATTTTGTTGTCACAAATTTAAATGTGACTTTAAGATGGAGAAAGACTGTCGGATTTCATATTTTATTTGGATGAAAAATATAAAATTGGAAGCTTTTCAAATTGATTTATACGTTGTCTTTACCTTTAAATTATTCTATTGCTTTTTTAATTTATTAGCACAAAAAGATCATCGAGTGTGACTGTGCAGAGAGGTCAAATAATTGATTATGCGCAGTAATTTGAAACAAATTTTATTGTCAGCTATCAAAATTTAAATGTGACTTTCAGATGAACAAAGGCTGTTTTATTCAATATTTCATTTGGAAAAAAAAAACATATTAAAGTGAAAACTTGTAAAATTAATTTATATGTTAGACGTTATTATTATAGTGCAAAAAGGTCATATAATAAAATTGCTCAGTAGTGCGAAAAAAGCGCCATGATCTCATTTCTGTTTTATTTTTTGAGTGTAGATTCTAAAAAAAATATACTCCACAAAAATTTTCAATACGTTTTTGCACAGGATCCAACCTCCTTCTTTGCAAATGACATATGGTAAAGTAAGAAGTAAAAAGAGTTCCATTTTATTGAAAAGCATCTGTCTAGGATTACAACAATGTCGCAATTTATTATATCATTGAAAGTGGTTTGATAAAGTGTGGAAAAGTGAAACGTTTTGTTGATATTATTTTGGTTAGAATTGTTTTAACAGTTCTTTATCATCTGATTAACACCACATGTCAATTAAATATGTTGTTATTAAGAACAATTTCTCTCTTACTGAATCGTTGATCAAATAAATCTATCTTTTTTCCATTTTTTATGCAGAGTGCGTAGTTATCCCCTTTAGCGGTATAAATCAATTTGTTTTGCTTCTCCTAGCTTCTCAATTGTTTTCAAGATCCTCAAAGACCTTAAAGTATGAAGGAAAAAAATGAAAAAAAGAAGTTGTTTTTACACTTTCATGAAACCGTCTAATTGCTACTTGCCACATTCTCTGAAATATGTGTTGGAATCCTGAGTCAAACATCGTACCATAATCGTTTCGTTGCATACTTCTTTTAAAACTATGTGTATGCTGATATAGTTAACTTGGGTGAAGTCTGTAATAAAGGTAAATTTTAAATGACTGAGAACCCTGCTCCGGAATTTTTTCTACACTTTAGTTTCTTAATACTTTAGAGAAGAATGAAGAATGGGGTTTGGTAGAATAATCACTCGCTGTGTATCTTTGTAAAAACAAAGTAAGATTATTTGAGATGTGTTTTCCTCAAAAAGAGTAACCTGTGTTCGTATATGACTTTTTGGCTCTAAAAGAGCACTTTAAAATTATACTGTAAAGATACACTTATGTTTTACAGGAAGTTGAAAAATACTTACCTTACTGTCACAACTGTCCTCAAATTATGATGGATTCTTAAAATTAGAATTAAATTTTACAAACAAAAATAAATAATATTTTGGCAGTTCTCCTGCGCACCAAGAAACAACAAGATTTGTAAAAAATAAACAATTAATTTATCTACATATGTACAATAAACAAAACGCAGCTGAAAGTTTAACTATAGTTTAACACCACGTGGCTTCATCATCTATTGTCGACCATAGTGGCCCGTCCGGTCCACCCTATCCTAGGTAGCCTCACCACGTAAACAAATCCTCCCGTCCGAATAACGGTGGTCACCTACAATTTTCAGAGAGTTTTCTAATAAAATATTCAAAACACACATCTTTTCAAAGTACTAGATTTTACAAATAAGAAAGCACATATTTGCCGTTTAACGAGTAAATGAATAAGAGCGTAAATATATACATTATCGCTATATTGCTAACAGTTTTGCATAGCATATTGCTCTTTAAAGGTAACAAAATAATAAAATATTGCAAAGTGTAAAAACTACGGAGCTGCGGCATTTCATACAAGATAAACATACGGCCCAGGTCTTGCCCTCAACACCGCTTCAAACATCCCTGAATCCCAAGATCACTCAGCAGGGGAAATAGAATACACCCAAGTTAACACAGCATGGATTATTTAAAAGGCACACCAAAGATCACTAAGCATGGGTAAAGTATAACTCTTGGCGTTCAGACATCATCTTACAAACAATACCCAACACCCAGTATAAATAATCAAACAGGGTCGACGAGTATACATTAATAAAAACGATAACTCCTAATACCCAAATAAAGACAATAAGCTAATATCAAACATTGACACAATGTCACTTGTGACACTTACTAATATAATTCTGAAGATATGCTATTGATAAAAAATTAAAATAATTTTGTTATACTTGCACTTTATGACACTTTCCAAAACATCGTTCGTCATTCAATCAGTTATTATCAAAACGTATCCTGGACAAACAGAACGGAAACAGACAGGGACTTTATATTGTTCCGAAATTTACATCGAAGCATCACCCCGACGCGCGAATCTACAAATTCGACTTCTCCTTTGAAGAAATCAAGCTTATTAAATTCGTCGCAAAATTATGGACTGTTACTCTTCGGCTAAACCAACAAACGTGTGTTCTCTGTAAAAAAAAAATATAGCAATCCCTTCCAACATGCCGCGGTGTGGTGTTCCGCCACAGAACATATTAGAAACTCATATCTTAATTGTGTAGTGAACAAATTTGATGTTCGTTTATATGTAGAACTAACCCATTTGTGTGATCATGACCTCTATATATTGTTAGGTGGTCTTCCAACATTAACGTTTGGGGACAAGCATGAAGAAAAGAAATTCATATGTTATTGTGCTAAGTTTATCTGCGAAGCCTGTGCCTTTTTTACAGGGCTTCCACTCAAACATAATTGTTTTATTTGTCAGCTTATTACTGTTTTTATAAATACGTTGTATACACCTTTCCTTTTATTACATTTTTTTCGTATTGGCAATTTAAATATGATATTTCTAATATAACATGATCTATAACATGTTAACTGTATGATTTGTAAAATCTCTGAAAAGAGGAAATAAAGATGGAATGACATGATATTAAGTTTCCCCCAAAGATAAAAAAAATGTTTGTATCATCTGTCCTTTTAAAAATGCTATAATTTATTATATTTATAATTTCTAAACAATCCTTTTTCTTATGCGATATTTTTTTTTTTATATGTCTCAACGGCCAGATTATTGGAGAAGCATTTCTTTTAAGAAATTAATTTTTTATTAACTTTAGAAGAGAAGAATTGTCAACTTAGTGTTTGTAAACTATGTGGATTTTTCGTTCATATTGCACAATGCTATGTAGCTTATTATAGAAAGCCGGACGGACATACCAATTAAAACAGGGAGTATAATGAAATAATATTTTTAATTGCTGTCTATACTAGTAATGATTCATTCATGTATGTAGAACATTTTTCCTAAAACAAGAATATGAGTTTTACTCTGCACAATATGCTTCAGTGTTTTTATAACCCCTGCTTGAAAACGGGAGGGAAAAAATCGGGATGCCCGTCCGTCTGTTCGTTCGTCCAACAAGTCTGTCCGCCTATTACGCTTTTGGGTACCTTTATCTCTTATCTGCAACTCCTCTGTTCTCACTAAATGAAATTTAATGAGACTTTCACAGACTTTCTGCTATATTTTGCCATTGTGACCACCTATTTTACTTTTTGTTCGGGGACATACATGTATTTTGGGTTTTCCACAGCAAAACATTGACATTACAATTTTTTCTATAATGATGATTGGTACCCATCTCTTATCCGCACCTCCTCCTACATTAGTGAATAAAATTTAATGACACTTTTACAGATTCTTTATTACATGATACAATTGTGCACCTTCTATTTTACTATTTGATCTGACACTCAAAATAGGTCTCCAGGAGCAAAACATGGACTTTGTCGTTAAAATCACACAGGGTGCAGGAGGAATCACTTACTGAGCTCATTGCTCACAGTAGCTCTAGTATTTTATTACTATCACGAGTTCTTGATAATGCGAGTAAGATTTTCCCAGAATTCGTCCTGCAAGGATGAATCTTCCGGAGGATAGTCAAGAAAATGCTTTTCCTCTATAAAATCTTTTATAGCGGTGTCACAACCCCCTTCAAACAAGTCAGGCATTAGAATAAGACAGACATATCCAAGGGATCCTCTTTCCTTTAAAGCTTCCATTTTCGCCATATTTAATTCATATGTTCGCCATTTTGATTTCAGATACGCTTTCGATACAACGCAGATAGTTCTCTGACTCCTCCCGATCGCTTTCATTATGTTATCAATTTTAGAATTACCAATTTCGAAGTGAATATCACGAATTAATAACCTCAAACCTTTTGCTTCCAGTTTTGGTTTCATCTTTTGGAACACGAATCCCCTATTCTCGCCTACGTAGGATATAAATGCATGGAAAAAATATTGCCGTTGTCCTTGCATCATTCCATATTGACTAGTTCTTTCAAAGCTTTCCTCAGCTATTGAACTCAGCAAATCAGGTTCTGCAAGCAGATTAGAAAGCTCCTCTTCTTTTATGGTTGAGGTAAAACCGTCATTATGTCGTTTACTTTTATGCAAGAAATACCTTATGTGCCAGATGTTTTTCCGAATAATTATCACAAGTAACACACTTATCACAAGAGTTATCGAGACAGTTGTTGTAATTATCCAAACGTCATAATCTATACAGTCAAGCTTTAGTTTTTGTAGAGATTGTTCCATATAATGAAAATTGAACTGATTGCTACGATCTGAACAAGTATACTTTTGAAAACCTAAGAAATGCATTCTGTTTTCATACAACCACGTCAAGAATTTTAGATTTTGGCATCTACAATACAAGTTGTTCCTTAGTAAATTTATCGATACTTTTGATTTTTTGAAGATATAAGAAAACGCATGCATTGTTTCATTTGTAAAGCCCGTTAATCTGTTATCGGAGAGATCAATATAAGAAAGGTTAGTCATGTGACGAAGTCTGAAGTTTACTCCGGTCAATTGATTGTGATTTAGTTTAAGTATTCTTAATTTTACCATATTTTGAAAAGTACAGATTGGCAGGTGAAAAAGTCTGTTGTTTGAAAGATCAAATTCTTCAAGGTTTCGCTGATATTTAAACAAATGACATCTTATGTCCATTTGAATTGGTCGAGACAAAAAGTTTCTTGCAATATTTAAGTATTTTAATCCTGTACCGCTTGCAGTAAAACGAGGGGATATTCTAGAACAGAAATTGTCCGACAAATCTAAATTTTCGACAAGCTCAAGTCCAAACACGGGTTTATCCCAGGAAAAGAACAAATTATTCTGAACGTAGATGTTTCTCAATTTTGTTGCATTCAAGGTTACTTTTGGAAATCCTCCATATAATTTGCTTGAATTAGCATAAACTGTTACAAGATTTGGAGGAATGTAAACTGTTATGTTTGGCCGATTAAGTCTTTTTATTTGTTTCTTTGAATATTCCTGGTATTTAATTTTACTCGACTCAACTAGTACTGATATTTCAAAATCTTTCTTTTCGATGCATTCCTCAAAAACCTCCGGAAAATTTGTTATGGGTTTCAAAAGAAGTGTCATGTTAAATTCTTTCAATTTACGCAGAAAGGAAAATTCAAATAGATATATTCCTGTTGTGAGTCGGTTTAAAGCCAAAGACAGTTTTTCCAACGTTGAAGGCATATTTTTCAAAACACCTTTTTCTATTAATTCCATCCTATTTTGTGCAAAGGAGGTCTCAACAAGTTTTGTATACCGCAAATTTTCTATGTGAGAAAATGTCATCTTCGTTCCAATGCCAAGTGTACAATGGATATCGTCTGCGTAAAAAAACTTTGATTGATGTTTCGTTCAGGCCAAATGTTGCATTTGGGAGAGAGGCAAATCCTAATTCCTTATTGTGGGAAATATCGAGTTTTTCCAGGTGTTGGAGCAATTTGAAAGGCCCTTTAGAAATATGAGATATTTTACATTTACTTACATCAATATCCTTCAGAAAAGGTATGTTTTTGAAGAAATCTGAGGATAAACTCCAAATATTGCAAAAACCTGTTATTCCTGAAGCGTCAAGAACAGAAAGTTTCCGAAGATTTTTAAATCCTTCACCAAAAGTAAAATTAAGTGGTATGTCAATTTTAAGTTTTTTCAAAGAAACAAGTCTTGAAAAGGCTCTGTCAATTGAATTTGAATTCACGTTAGTGTTTGTGTTTCTCTTAATATCCAAAGTTTTCAAACTTCGAAGTGAAAGAAACAAGTCCGGGTAATAGATTGCTTCTGAGAGACTTAGATTATTCTGTTCGAGATTTAAATATCTCAAATTTTTAAGTCCACTGAAGGGTTTACCAAGGAGGGCTGAAATATTGTTTCTTGACAAATTAATAAATTCGATTTTCTTTGGAAATCTCCAGTTAATTTCCTTAATGTAATTTTCACTTAAATCTATCCACATCGTATGCACTGGAAGTGAAGTGATTTTAAATTCTTTTTTCAGTTGACCACTGCAATCTATTTTCAATCCTCTTTTTAATCTGGTACACTTACATACATTACATAAGTACTTACTTTCCGTAGCCATTAATATTCCTTGCAAGTAATACAAACACACAACCAATAACCAGCGATAAACTTCCATGATCAATTTATACTGATATGCGTTCTGTTGTTAACCCACTAAAACACCGAATTTATATTTCACAGTCAGTTTAAATGAAATGATCATAACGACTTGGGACATTGGTAAATGATATTGAAGTGCATAACCCATTGATTTTTTTTTACGTCCGGGTTGAATCAAGTTAATAAAAAAAATATCACAACTTCAAAATAAGCAATGACCTTAAAATCCATTGCACGTATTGAATTCGAAAATAAACATACGATGTATTTTGAATGAGTTCTAAAAATATTTTCAATTTAAGTGCTAGAATGGAAATTAAATGAAACTTGTTATGTAAATGAATGGAGCTCAAAATATGTCATGCAGTGGGCAAAATATTATGGCACGTGAACACAAGTAATTGAGGCTAGATATTCGAACAAATTAGCAGAACAAACTTGACGCAAAGCGTGATACGTGAAATATAGCAAATTCAAACTTTAGAGATCAATTATATTATATTTATCTATTATACAAACAATGATGTCAACGAACTTTTTAATACGAATGGAAAAACACCATGTTTCTGTGTAGTACGTCATCAGTTTCAGAGAGTGTTGATATTGATTTAGAAAACCGCGGCATGGTGATCCGGAAAGTCGGATGACGACGTCACGTTATTACGTAAATTTAAAGTAAAATTTTGTGATACACAGCTTGGTATAAAGTAAATATGTATATTTTTAAATATGTACTGAAATCCTCGTCTGTTCAGATGCATTAAGAGTAAAGAATTTTTATAATACGGATCAGATCTTCTTAGAATAACTTCCGTAAGCAGGGGTCTTCGAGAGAATAATCGATGAAAGATTTTTGATCGATAAAATCTTTTATTTTCATATTAAAACCACCCTCGAAAATATCTGGCATTAGAATGAGATAGACTTATTGAATCTTTTGACCTAGAGAAGATGTATGGAAGCGAAACATTTGAACTAAAAAAAAAGTTGTTATTCGATTAATTGAGAAATCCAGGGTAAAACATTAATCATATGTTTGATCCTTAAATTCATATGAGACAGCTGGTAATTTTAAGAACTTTGAATTCAGCCATGGATTGAAAATACAATCTGGTAAATGCGAAATTTTGTTGCTGGAGAGAATAGAACCTCCAGCTAACGTTGATTTTTAAATAGCTGGCAGCTGTAGTCTAAATGTATTGAAAGTGATAAAATGTTTCTGGCCATGTTTATATATTTCAGACTCTTGCCACTCGCTGTATTACCCTAACAAAAAAATACTATAGTTAACTATAGTTAACTATAGTTAACTATAGTTTACTATAGTTAACTATAGTAAATCAAAGTGTCAAAGTTTTCGTCAAAGTTTTTCAAAGTGTCAAAGTTTTCGCCAAAGTTTTTCAAAGTATCAAAGTTTTTGCCAAAGTTTTTCAAAGTGTCAAAGTTTTCGCCAAAGTTTTTCAAAGTGTCAAAGTTTTCGCCAAAGTTTTTCAAAGTGTCAAAGTTTTCGCCAAAGTTTTTCAAAGTGTCAAAGTTTTCGCCAAAGTTTTTCAAAGTGTCAAAGTTTTTGCCAAAGTTTTTCAAAGTGTCAAAGTTTTCGTCAAAGTTTTTCAAAGTGTCAAAGTTTTCGCCACAGTTTTTCAAAGTGTCAAAGTTTTTGCCAAAGTTTTTCAAAGTGTCAAAGTTTTGGATAAAGTTTTTTAAATTTTCAAAGTTGGCGATAAAGTTTATTAAAGTGTCAAAGTTGGCGATAAAATTTTTCTATGTGTTAAAGTATCCAAGTTTTCGATAAAGTTTTTTAAATTTTCAAAGTTTTCGATAAAGTTTTTAAAGTGTCAAAGTTTTTTATAAAGTTTTTCGAAGTGTTAAAGTATCAAAGTTTTCGACAAAGTTCTTCAAGGTGTTAAATTTTTCGATAAAGTTTTTCAAAGTATCCAAGTTTTCGATTAAGTTTTACAAAGTATAAAAGACTTGGATAATGTTTTTCAAAAAGTCAAAGTTTTCGATAAAGTTTCTCAAAGAATCAAAGTTTTCGATAAAGTATTTTAAAGTGTCAAAGTTTTCAATAAACTTTTTCAAAGTTTTAAAGCATCCAAGTTTTCGATAAAGTTTTTCCAAGTATCCAAGTTTTCGATAAAGTTTTTCAAAGTATCCAAGTTTTCGATAAAGTTTTTCAAAGTATCCAAGTTTTCGATAAAGTTTTTTGAAGTATCAAAGTTTTCAATAAAGTTTTTCAAAGTGTCAAAGTTTTTGCCAAAGTTTTTCAAAGTGTCAAAGTTTTCGCCAAAGTTTTTCAAAGTATCAAAGTTTTTGTCAAAGTTTTTCAAAGTGTCAAAGTTTTCGCCAAAGTTTTTCAAAGTGTCAACGTTTTCGTCAAAGTTTTTCAAAGTGTCAAAGTTTTCGCCAAAGTTTTTCAAAGTGTCAAAGTTTTCGTCAAAGTTTTTCAAAGTGTCAAAGTTTTCGTCAAAGTTTTTCAAAGTGTTAAAGTTTTCGTCAAAGTTTTTCAAAGTGTCAAAGTTTTCGTCAAAGTTTTTCAAAGTGTCAAAGTTTTCGTCAAAGTTTTTCAAAGTGTCAAAGTTATCACAATAGTAAATCAAAGTTTTCAAAGTGTCAAAGTTATCACTATAGTTAACTAAAGTAAACTATAGTTAACTATAGTTAACTATAGTATTTTTTTGTTAGGGTAAAGCTGGAGATATACTAGAGCAAAAGTTTTTCGAAAAATCTACCCTTTCAAGCATTTCAAACCCAAATAGAGGTCGATTAAAGAAAAACAAGAAATTGTTCTGTGCGTGTAAATTCTTCATTTTATTTACACTTAACCTTAAATCTGGTATTCTGTCTTTAATGTGCTAGAATTTCCATAGAACGTTTCAAGTTTCGGTGGCATATACACTGTTATATTTGAAGAAAGAAATTCAAAATATGTCTTTGAATATCTTGCACTCATTGACACTTGGAGTTCAACTCTTTCTCTTTGTTGCATATTTCAAAAACAAAGGTAAAATACTTTGTTGGCTTCAAAAGAAAAGTCATATTTAATGCCTTCAAATTATGCAGGGTGTGAAATTCAAATAAAA